ACACACACACACACACACACACACACACACACACACACACACACACACACACACAGCCAAGAGTGTGAACTAATTTGCTTAGGCTTATTTTAACAGAGTGTTAAAAACTGCACAACAGAGCTATGGTAAGTGTACAGGCCTGCTATCCTGTCACTGCCAGGGCTATTTAAATGAAAGTTTCGCCAGGCTGACTGGCTGTTAACATCCACTCAGCTGGACAGGATTCAGCATATATAGAGTGTAAATGTCCTCTGCTGCTTGTTTAAGTTTTCCCTGATGTTGTTATAATAGTCCTGACAGAGGTAAAACACCCCCCCACACACAAACACACACTTCTCCTGGCTACAACCCAGCTACAGATGGCACGGAGCTACAAAATGACACTACAGAACAAGGATAGGCCTGGAAACTGGAAGCAGAGACTATTAAACATACAGCCGCATTTGTGAAGGACCTGGCTGGAGCACCAGCGAATACCGCTACCTTCTGTAACACAAGCATACAAGTCCATGCAGCCCCGGGTATTACTTTGCTCTAATGTTAACAGTAAACAGCACTTAGGACAATGGAAAAACATTCAAAGGTTGTGTTTTTACGTGGACGTCACGAATGGGAAGTTACCTACCTTGTTTTGGAGGCCAGGAAGGCGAGTTTTATTAATCCGTGAGTGCAAATCTGGATCCCTTCTTTCTCTATACTCGCCACTTTCAAGCTGTGCTCTAAAATATGAAGCTCCATCTTTTACGTCTTCTCATTTGAGGAAGGACTAAAAGGTAAAAAAGAAAAAAAAAAGCTAAATATTTTCAAATTAGATGCATGAATAAATAAATACACTCAGAGGGCAGGCCGAGACGTATTTAACAGAGAAAGAAGCAGGGCGACAGGGTGGAATAAAGAAAGCAAAGCGGTAAAAACGGACCTGCTGTCAAACCTCCAACGGAAACGTTGACACTTCCTGTCTGGTGTTTTTCAAAATAAAAGCGCCCGGCAGCTGTTTGTTTGTTTGTTTGTTTGTTTGTTTGTTTTTGCCAGGGAGAGGAGGCTCCCAAATGTTTTATCTGCCTTAAAAAATATCCGTTCCAAGTCTCTGCTAAGTCTTATATTATCTGCTGTTTATATCTGCTGTCTTAAACTATTATTATTATTGTTATTATTATTATTAGTAGTAGTAGTAGTATAAACATTTGCATAAGTTTCCCATTAAAATAACTACTACCTAGTTTGTGTCTCTTAGATTTGAGGATTATTATTTTTAATAATCTTGGGAATTGGCTCCAAGGTTTATTACCTCAGTATTCCCAAATATATCGACTTCACCTTGAAGACTCATTGATTTGAATGGATAAAGGCAGTTTTAATGTGGTTTTCTTTTCTATGCCCTTACTTTGAAGAAAAATGTTCAAACGGAAGTGGCTTTCTAGCCAGTTTCCCTCAGCTTGTCGGCCTTCTTAAATGGAGAGCAGAGGACCGCTGCTCCCCGTGTTTGCTCTCCGACTGGAATAGTTAGCAGCTGGTTGGAGTGAAACAAACAACTTGCCATTCAAACGCAGGGGGCGGGGCTGCAGTGTAGCGCGGCAGTATGGGATTTGTAGTTTTTGTCCGCAAGGTACAATAAAGGGTGCCGCTACCAAGCAGAATAAACTATTTTTTTTGTCCGTGTGAGACTGACCAGGAGAACCACCGCTGCCACCAGTATGTGCTTCTAGCAGCAAAGCCTCCAAATGCAAAATAACTTATGATATGTTGTATATTTTATGTGTATGTAATATAGGAGCATATATAATAAAAATACCTTTGTTTTGGAATTTTCCCATAGATTGTTTGATTGCCATGTTGCTCTTGTAATGGCTTTCTGTGCACACATTAAGTCAGTACTAATGCATGGAATTAAACAGCACCAACATAATAAAATCTGAATAGAAATAGTCCTTTAAATATGTACAACTAAGAAGCTGCATTTTCAAAATGTGTTCAAATAACTGTGGAAAAAGTACTGATTAAGAAAATTCATGATATCAGAGTTTTATAATCTGCTTATATCCTGTTCATCAGAGTTCACGTTATGAGTTAAATGCTTGGAACAAAGTAAGGAAGCTTAAATCTCAGCAGAGGGTTAACTCTTACTCAGATTATAAATACACAGCCCAGAATAACACACTAGAAAGTGTTAATGCAATCAACTGTAACTTCTTTATATTTTTAAATATACCAGATGTACATGCACAGAGGCTAAAAGAACTCTGTTTCTCTGTGTTTCCAGAAAGATGAAAATATTTGGGGAGGAGTCGGCACGACCAAAACCTATTTCTGCTTGGACTAAATGACATAAATGTAAAAAGGAATCAGTACTTTTTAAATGTCAAAAAGCTCATAGAAAAATAAGACAAATAAGTTAATGCGACCTTTGGGTTTTGGACCCTGAGTTTTGAGTTTTTGCGAGTTGACATTTTTGGATTGTGAGAACGTTTTATGATTAGGTTTTTTCCTTGTCTATTTGAAATATGGGGTTGTCAGTTTTTTTGTTATTTATTATTACCTTTCTTGTAGCCTATTTAAATTTTGCTTATTTATTAAAATCCTGCATTTTAGGTTTTCCTTGGGGTCGAGGTTTCTGTTCTTTGGTTAGCCAGTATTTCGTTTCCAGGCTTTCTTTCTATGTTCCTTTGTGTAGTACTTCTGTCCTCCCTTGTGTCAAGTTAGCCCCTCGTTCCCTGTTCAGTTGCGTCTTCCTATTTTATTTTGATAACTATTGTTCTATGGCAATTGTGTGGTGTTTACGTCTATCCTTTATATCTGTTGTTTCCAGCTGTGCGTCCCACCTGTTGTCTCCCCTCTTGTATACATTGTCTCTGACTCGCTCTGTTCATGGTTGCGTCATCCCTCTTTGGTCATGCCTGTGTAAACCTCAGCTCTGCAGCTCTCATCTCTGATTTCTATAGTGTGTTTGAATCTCCTGGTGGGTTTGTGTTCCCTGGTGATGTGTAGTGTTTTGAGTCACGTGATTCCTTCCCTGATTGAAGTGAACAATCACCTTTAAATGCTTGCTCTAAGTTACTCCACCCTCCTGTGTTCTAGACTTGGACTGTCAACAAATATCTCACACAGCCAAACTTGACGTAATCACGGCCTCATTCACTTGTTCTGACATCTCTTTCGAGCTCCTATTAAGAATTCCAGTGAAAGTCTGCAAAATCCAAATCCAATCCACCCCAGAGGTTTAAATGATTCGACCCTATAATGTGATTAAAAAGTGTTCCTTTCATTTATTTATTTCTGGACAGTGTGCTAAGGTGTGTTTTTCCACATTTTCAAAACAATAATCTAACCTCTTTATTCTTGAGGTGTATCAGAGGCAGTTATGTTTGCATGGAGCATTTTATGTCTTACATTTATTGCTCCAGTTAATTCATTCAGTTTTATTTTCCCATATAAAATGTAAAGTGAACACATTGCTATTTGTTGCCATGTATTTCTTTGTCTTAAGTAACCTTTCTCAGCTTCCTCATTTCGTAACACTAGGTATCTTTTGAGTAGCAGTAAGGGGCACTCAGAAGCTTCCCGTTAGTTAGATTCACAGTAATTGTTGAATTTCCAGCGCTTGAGTTCATAAGCGTGAATGGTTACCCCTTCCTGGGAGGCTGCAGTGGAAACTTGTATTCACAGCTATGCAGGGTGCAATTAAATTGGACTGCACTGTGCTTTTTGAGGAAAAACAACTTTTGATGTCGCATCGCCTGCTTCAACAAGTTTTTTACATATATGGGTCATCCACATACAGCCTGGTTTTTGTTCACTGTCGGCGTGCAGGATTGTGTATTTCAGCAGATGCTATTATACCTGTATCACATTGATTCACTCCGATTTATCAGCTTGGTACATGCCTGCTTTGCTGCCACTGATTCTTCTTTGATCCACACCAACCCTTTGGATTACCTACTAGATAAAAGCAGCCGATTGCTCTGGACCCCTTGTGGCCTTTGAAACCCCACGTTCGTGTTGTCTCATTAGGTTTTCGGGGCTTTAATTAACAGCGCATTTGGGTGTTTGCAGTACTAAAATACAATAATCTGGGTCCCACATTGTGAGCTCTGTGTCTACACTAATCTTAATTATTTTAGTATGCCTAGAGCACTGTAAGGTAAAAAGAATAACACTGATCATGACAAAAACTTTGAGTCATGGAATTTATGTTGATGTTCAACATCTTCATCCTACGATGTGAAACAAGCCCAGATGTCGACAGACAGCATGGCTTTGTTGGAGGTTTCATCCTATAAAAAGTGAGTTTTTTCTTCCCACTGTCGCAAAGTTCTTACTCATAGCGGGTCATCTGATCATTGAAGGTTTCCTCTGTAATATTGTAGGGTCTTTACCTTTACATTGTTATTCAGCACTATATATATATATGGTAAATGGTAAATGGCCTGTATTTGTATAGCGCTTTTACTAGTCCCTAAGGACCCCAAAGCGCTTTACATATCCAGTCATCCAC